TTACGTGTTTCCCGAGCTAGAAGCCTGGGAAGAAGGTGCCCCCATCTTAGGAGGTATCTTCTGCGTGACCTTTGCGTTCTTGCACTTATACTGGGTGTGTCCGTATTCACCACAGTTAATGCAAGCGCCACGCACTCAGCGGTCCCGCCACACTTCTTGATCAAGACCTGCCTTGACCCAATCAGCAACTTTGGTCTGATTGGAGGCGGCTTGCCCTTGACTCTTTTGATGGCCCTTCCCTCGGCCACCGGCCTTAGTCTTTACAACTGCGGCGAGGGTGCTACCCTCAGCGATTTCCTCGCCGTCGTACTCTGAATAGTCCAACAGGTCTGTGAGCTCTTCGATCTCAATTTGAGTCCCATCGGACTCAACCATCATCAATTTGCTCCCTTTCTTCTTCCATTCCTGTGGACTCTTCTTCTTCCTTGTGTCAAGTAGGCTGAGCACTTCCTAGAGTAGCCTCTAAGTCTAAGGCTTTTCTAGATAGTGTCTCAAACGAATGATACTCGAGGCGAGCCTCGCTGGCTAGTAAGTTCCTGAGATTCTTTGGGAGACATCTCACAAACATGGTCAATAAGACCTGGTCATCATAGTGTATGCCGGGAACTACGATGAGGCTCTCTACGGTAGTCGTTAGCTCTCTGACTGACTTAAACTTTCTTTGCTCCAGTCTGTGCATCGCATCAGTGGCAATTTGTGCCTGCTCTGGATTGTGCCAGCGAGCTTCTACCATTTCCAAGAACTGTTCTAACGTAAGGGTCTTAGCCCAGTCTGCCATTCGTCGTCCGTACCCGGCCTTTGCTACTAATCCATCTAGCCATTTGGCTGCCTTACCTTCAAGGTAAGATGCAGCAGTAATCACCTCCTCCTGCAAAGTCCTCTTTGCCCTTACCCACACTGGAACCGTTCTCAACCATGTGTTGAGTTCCTCATCCTTCTTCTCTCCGGAGAAGGCAAGGGGCAGTTTCATAGGGGTCTTTGGGTACCATTGACTTTGCTGCTATCCCTGTTGAGGAACAGGTTGTTGCGGTGATGGTGTAGCAACCACCGCTGACCCAGAAGAAGAAGAAGCAACAGTTTGTGCGGCTGCTGCAGACGTACCACTTGGCTGTGTGACAACTTGTACCGGAAAGGGGCCTAACATCGCCGTTAACGACAACGGCGACTGCGCTGCTGGCCTGAATCTTGGCCTTTGCAAAAGGTCCAAGATCTGGTCTAAAGAGTTCTGCATGAAGTCCAGCCTGCTGTCCACATGCGCATGCAGCGACAGCACACTGTTCTTCAACACTTTCACTTGGTCAGACATAGCTGACTCATCCAAACCCTCCAATGCAGCCTTGTCTGCCTCTAACGTATCAAGCCTGGCTGTTCTATTTTTGATTTCCCTTTCTCTGTCGGTTGCCTGTTTCAGTTCCCTCTCTAACCGCTCGTGGATCCTTTCGACCCGTTGGAGCTCTAGGAGCTCCCTACCGCGTGGGGTCAACGGGCTTAACTGCGAGCCCGCCATTTGACTTGTGGACTGACTAGAACCTATTGACCCGGAAGTACCCGCGGGCCCAGAGGGCATTCCCAACTGGGTCCGAGACGAGGACGCAGCAGAAGCTGCGCCGTTAGCCATTGCTGATGCTCCGGCTGCTGCTGCCTGCTCTCTAGCTGCTGCGTTTGCTGCTGCCAACACCTGACTTGCAGCTAGTGTTGTTTCCTGGGCTGCTGCTAGAGCACGGGCTCTGCATTCGGCACGAAGCCGTCTTTCGTCTTCCGGTTGTAAGGCCTGGAACACATGCAGGACCCTAAGTGATCCCGAACGTGTGAGTCTCACGTCGTCAACTCTACCCTCCTCAGTGTCTGACCCGCTCATCAGTTAGGCAATCACTATCTGCACTACAACTCCCTGCTGGAGTCCTACCACAGCATGTGTCTGACCGACACCTAATTTTCTAAAAATAATTGTGTCCGGCAGGTCCCCTACTTGACCGATCAAGTGGCAGCCTACAACATTCACAAAAGACTGTCCACATAGTTTAATCTTGTCATGATTAGTTCACTTACAGAAGTTTGCATAGAACTGGCTATGGTAGTATACAACAGTCCTAATACTAAACTGTTTGTGAGGTATTAGCAGTCTGTCAACCAACTAATCAAGAACAAAACCAGACTATGTTGCAGATGTATGACCAGTGGATAAAGTTGTGTTTACAATTGAGCACCAATTAGAACCTACCCTCCCCTCAATCCAACATACCGAAGAGCATCTTTGAGCAGCAGTGTCTTCGTGTGTATTGTCGGCCCACCTCTGTGCCCCAAGTCATTGCCGAGCAAGCCAGCCCATCCACTCTTATTTACCCTCGTACGGAACGAGCCTTACTACCCGGATTGATCTGGCTGATCAGAAGGGATTTAAGGAGAGCCCCCATCTCCTCAGGAATTATTTAACSTCGCAGTCAGGACGAYGATCACAGCCAGTATCAAYCGAGTTCCCAACCWGAAGTATTTATAGACGGTCTGGTAAGCGTCTCTTATGGGCTGGCACACCCGGCACGACTTCTATAGCGCAGCAAAGTGCCAAAATGGACGAGCAGCCATCGCATGCGTGACCTACTCCCATTGGGTTGGCATGGTGACCGTGACCCAAGTGCTTCGACCAGGGCCCTTCAGAGGCACCGCCCTTTCTCCTTCCAGATGCTTCTGGGAAGATTGTCGTATCTCAAGGTAGTGCGCACACGACACCTCACCAAAAGAGAGGACTCTCAAGTTGGACTCACTTCCTCGCGGTAAGAAGAGATTGAGAGAGTAGATAAGGTAAGGGAACAACGTACCTGGAGATAGCTGCCCCCAACCACAGATTTCTCACCAATTGAGCTGAGTGTGCATTTGATGACCGGTCGTAGCCTCGATACCACCCACAACGCAATGCAGTGCCACCTCAGCTTAATGCCACATCAGCATGCTCTCATCACCAATCATACATTCCATAGTAACCACGGCAACCCATGCCGTATAGCCTTCCGACGCACACCTCTCTACCCAGGTCGTGCGCCTATTGTTGGCCTGACGTCACAAGAACCAACTGCAAAGAAGCATCATCAATGCACCAAGTCTGTATAACGCCAGCGCACCAAGGTAAGTGGTGAATCGAACCAGCTCCGATACCAAAATGCAAGGAACATGAATATGGCCGAAGCACAGAAATCCAGATTGCAAAATCACACTGAAGTCCAAGTAGTCAAAGCAAGAGCAGATAGCACAATGGAACCGAGTAACCATCCATTTGAGAACGATACAGAAGAATCGTGAGTCAATGTCCAAGCCCAATAGGGCAACACCAACAGCATAACCCAATGTAGCTCCTCTCTCTCTTGAATGGCGCCAGGCGCCCTACCTACTCTACAGCCTATCACTACAACTACAGCATGAAAGCAACCAGACAACTTGACGACCAGCGAGTGATGATGTCAACACCAATGCCGACCTCCCCTCTCCACCAGGTACGTCTCTCTCTTCAACCACTCTCCCTTGTTATCCCACACAGCGCCCTTCACCTCCGAAGAACCACCTTCGCCCTTCACCTCCTCTGCGCCCACAGGCAGCCCAGCTATGGCCGCCAGCGCCCTGCGCCCAGGCTGCACTCTACTGCTTAGCGCTAGCCGGTCTCCCTCAGCCGCAGCACAAGTGCAGCGCTGCAATGCAGCAGCGTGCCCGCAATGCCTGCATTGGCCAAGATCCCTGCCCACTCGCCCTCCCTGCCTATATGCCAGTGTTGCGTGTGGGCGGCCTCCCTTGAGCCTGCGCCTGGGCCCCAATACCTGTACCCAGGCCCAATGCGGTTGGGGCCCAGGAGATGCAGTTGCGCCTCTTTCATCAAGGCCTGCGGCCAGATTCAGATAGTGGACCGATTTCCCATTGGCATTTTCGGCCTCTATATCCAGCGTGCATTGTCGGCCTCACGTTTATGTGCCCAGGGCCTAACCAACTCTGGGGCCCTGGGATTTCTGCATTTGCAGAGCTCCGATACTCGGTGCACTCCAACCAACTGGCGTGCTGCAACTGTATGGACCCCACTTCGTGAAATGTTTGCACAGAGGGCTCTTGTTGATTTGCTGGCCCGCCTTCACTTAGGGCGGGCACGAGGCTTGCTGGGGCCTTAGCCCAGAACATGTACATCATGGCAAGGCCCCTTCTTGAGGGCTCAATCCTCACAGATGCCTCAAATACAGCTATAATGACCGTACGACGCACGAGAGGATTTGTGATCGAAGTAGCAGACAAAATTCAAGGGTGCTATATGGGATGGGGACAGCTGCCTCTAAGAAGGTAGGCCCGCAGAAGGGCGTGAGTCCTGGTCACTGATGAACGGATCCATAGGCCGGGTACTGTGACTCCGGTCAGATATCGAGGACACGTGAAACGGATCCAAGACTGTGGAATGAGACAAAATTCGGCGCGACACACAAGGACAAATGAAGCAAGTGCCCGCCGTCAAGCTGGCGCGTTCACGGCTGAGAAAAAAGAATGGTATCGGGAAGACGAACTCCGGATTCAGCAAGAAACGTGTGAAAGCACAGAGTATCCAGGTCACTACGGAGAATGGACTTGGCTTGATTTTTGCTCATTATTTATTTACGTAATTTTTGAGTTTTTTCTTTTTCTTTTCCTTTTTTCGGCTCTAGATGAGTCGTGAGCGGGTATTTAAGAGTATGAAGCAGGTGCTTTGAAGCAGACTGAGCAGATTGAGGTCGAAGGTCTGTTACACATCCTAGTCGCGTGCACGATTGCACGAACTAGTGGTGTGCACTCACGATGTAGTTTTTCTGTGATATTAAAACCTCGACTACATTGTTTTTGAGTTTAATCTCTCTATGCCGTACGTTGTATTAGGGGGAAGAAGGTAGCGGACATCATGGGTGTACCAACAACTGAGCACCCCCCTCATCTCACCTCTTGATAAACTTTTTGCAACTCCTCTGCTGCTTGAGGGAAGCTGTTGGAGCACCACTGCTGTAGAGCAAATATATTATCTGCACAAATGACGAAATCAGGACCAAGTTCAGTTAAAAAAAAGGGACAATCAAAAGAGCAAAACCTGCAGAAATAAGAAACAGGTTCAAAAAAAAAAAGTGACAATCAAAAGAACAAAAGCTTACACATATCGGTCCTTCGGGACATCCGTTAAAATTGGAATGATACAGAGAAGATTAGCATGGCCCCTGCGCAAGGATGACACACATAAATCGAGAAATGGTCCATATTTCAAAAAAAAAAAAAAAAAAAAAAAAAAAAAAAAAAAAAAAAAAGCTTACACATATCAGAACCAAGTTCAATTAAGGAAAAAAAAAAAGTGAGAATCAAAAGAACAAAATGGCAGACACTAGGGGGGTGGGGGGCGTGACCGGCAGGGAAGGGGGGAAGACCCCAAAAATTATCGAAATCTCTTCTCTTCTCTATACTCTTAAAAGTTACAAAGGGCCCCGCGACACACACGACGGCGGGCCCACGAGAAACCGTGGCAGGAGCCCGCGGTACCCAGGAGGAAATCGAGAGGCTGCGCTGCGCGGGTTCGGGAGCAAAGTGCATTGTTTCGTGTGCGCGAGTGACGTGCCGGCGCGATCTTTTTTTGAGTCTGGCGGCGACTGTTCGGGCCAAGGTTGTTTCGGGCCTGTGTGAATGGAGTTTGAGCCGCGCGATTGTGCAACAATCGTGTGGAACACTCGAGAGGAAGGCTAACGTTGGCACAGTTTTATGAACGGTTTTTTTTTTGGCCGCAGGTTTGCGGACTGAATCTACAAGTGTGGCAGTGTATATTTCCCTGTTCTAGTGGAAGATTCATTTGATTTTGCTCATCCTATCGATGGAAGTAGCGTGAGGCCAGCCGTGGCGTTGGAGACTTACCTGTTCTCTCT